AGAGCTCGGCACAGCTAATTTACATTACCATTTGCAGTCTAAATGGTAATAAATGTGATATTTTACATTCATCCAGCTTTACTGTCTTACATTTTGAGGAGCATTACAGTACAAAACTTCAATGTGCCCTACTTGCCTACTGCCCTTTCATTATATTACTCTATTTAACAGCATATAAGGTCAGGGATGGATCCAGCATGATCTGGTAGGGGGGGGGGGGTGTGCTCTCGTGCCGACTGCCGAGTTGTGTCGGTCATGTGTGCCACCCGACCATCAACTCCCGTATTTGAATTGTAATTGTTGTTCACAGTTCATTTATCCTCATGTTATTACTCAAATTACTGTATCTCATTTTGTCTTTTTTGCTTTATCATAAAAAATAGCACCCCCCTCTGCACCCCCTCTGGCCAGGGCTAGGGGGGGGGGTGCACCCCCCAGTAAATCCATCCCAGCCTGTATAAGGTTATATTTCATTAAGGGGTTGAGTCTTATTAATAGTTTATTTGTGAATTTATTTAAATATATATCATTTTGATATTGAGCATAATAGTTTTCACCTAAATACATTGTGCTTTATATATTTTCTATTTATGTATGTGTATAATGCTAAATTGAATAGAATATTATTTTTTGCTAAAATGTGTTGATTTAGGTTATGTTAGATGTCACTAAGATGGTTTCGATAAATCGAAACATTGACATGGTCTCGATAAATCGAAACATTGACATGGTCTCGATAAATCGAAACATTGACATGGTCTCGATAAATCGAAACATTGGCATAGTCTCGATAAATCGAAACATTGACATGGTCTCGATAAATCGAACCATGACATTGTCTTCGATAAATCGAAACATTGACATGGTCTCGATAAATCGAAACATTGGCATAGTCTCGATAAATCGAAACATTGACTTGGTCTCGATAAATCGAAATATTCACATGGTCTCGATAAATCGAAACATTCACATGGTCTCGATAAATCGAAACATTGACTTGGTCTCGATAACTCGAAACATTCACATTTCACATGGTCTCGATAAACTGAAACATTCACATAGTGTCGATAAATCGAAACATTGATATAGTTTCCAAATATAAATTGATCAGAGATGCCTTTGGTTAAACCAACATATTTTCACTGTTAGCTGTCATGCTACTTTTGCATTATTTGATCCTTTTCAGAACAGTCTATAAAATGTGTTGTTAATTTTAGGTAAATTTGGTTGTTTTAGCAAGAGAAGAAAATTTGCATTCTTTTTTTTGCACAAAAGGTGTTTTTAAGCACCAATTTTTCTGTTTTTTTCAGTTTTGGACAAATTTGTTTAAAAATACGAAAATTGGCACCATTTTGGGTAAATAGAATATTGGACCCTATAGCAGAACGTGTTATTTTTGTTTTCGGTCAAATAGATACGATTTAAACCAATTGAGACTCATTGAATCAACTCCATAAATCTGAAGTTTGCCCAACAAAATCTCATAATCCTCCATATCAAATGCCTTGGCCAAATAAAGAAACACTACAGAATTCATATTTGCGATGTTACTCTGAGTGTATATCCACACCGGGCAAGCTTGAAAAATATGCCCGACCACGGTGGGATTCGAACCTACGACCTCCCACCGTGGCCGGGCATATTTTTGAAGCTTGCCCGGTGTGGATATACACTCAGAGTAACATCGCAAATATCATATTCACCTGACTACAGAATTCAATTGACCTTTATCCATATTGCTTAGCCATTCTGTAGTTGCGTCCAAAAGTGCGTTTGTGGTGGAGTGAACTGGCCTAAATCCAGACTGTTTGTCATAAATAAGGCCATTTTCATTAAAGTATGCTTGCAACTGGTCATAAACGATTCGTTCGAAGATTTTGCTCACAGCACTTAGAACAGAAATTATCTGTAGTTGTTTAAAAGATCTTTTGCATCTCCTCTATGAAGTGGCTTAACTTTTGCAATTTTCCAATCATCTGGAAATACACCAGTTGCTATTGAGCAGTTAAATAAGTTGCATAATGAGTCTGATATCACTGACGCGGCACATTTTAACAATTTAGCCGGAATCGCATCAAGACCCATTGCTTTTCCGTCCTGCAATGAAGAGAGTAACTTAAAAACAGCACTTGGTGTTGTCAAATCTAACGTGAAAACCGCTGTTTTATATAATAACCAAAACGCAATTATTTAATTCATCCGGTTCATCAGGTCTCAATTTCAACCCAATTTCTGCAAAATGATTATTAAAATACTCTGTTAAGTCAGCTGAGTCACTGATCGCTCTATCATTGCACGTAAGATGAGAGATCTCGTCTAACTTAGCATTACGAGACATTAGCTCATTGATTGATTTCCAAATTTCTTTTGGATTTTTCGAATTTGTTTTAAAATATTTTATGGTAATAATCGGTTTTTGCTTGTCTAATTTTATTATTGCACGTATTTCTCGCATCTTTGAATTTTTTCCAGTCAGCTGGATTTTTTTTTGACACCACCGCTAATTTCTTAAGTTTGTCTCTTTGCAAAAATAATTGTTTTAGATTTGCATCCATCCAGGGACTTTTTTATTTCTAAGTCGTTTACGTTTTAATGTAGCGTGATTATCAACAACATTCATAAGCATCGATTTCCACAATTCCCATCGGTTATTTGCATTTTCAAGATTATCAACAAGTGACCATGGTAAACTGGTTAATTGATTTTTGAATTACCAACTTTGAAGTTTTTCATGGATCAAATATTAAAAACGCGCGATGACAGACAGACAGACAGACAGACAGACAGACAGACAGACAGACAGACAGACAGACAGACAGACAGACAGACAGACAGACAGACAGACAGACAGATAGATAGATAGATAGATAGATAGATAGATAGATAGAGATATACATAGAACGTTTAATTGAATCAATATTTACAGTCTTGTGAACTGAATTACTAATGAATTTACAAAAGTTAAAAAATATTAATGTATGTACCTGTATATGTTTACATATCATAATTATAATAGTTGTTGTCTCTAATAAAAAGTCTAAGATGTAAATGTAAATGTACTGTCGTTTATAACTATTTAAAATATTAATGATCCGAAATTACATACAAGGTTGCTTTACGTGCTCAATATGGTTTGTTCTGAGATTGTTTGGTTGCGAATTTTTCGGTAGCAATAGTTCCTTTAACTTATGATCATTATTTGCTTCGATTGACGAAAATAGTTTTACACACAACTTTTCTCTTCGATCGTACAATGTTTCCAACTTTGCCTTTTTTAATGCTTCGATGTTACTCGAGTCTTGGTGGATAATCCGTAGTGCACGCTTCTGAATACTTTCAATTTCCATTAATAGGTAGTTAGGGACACTCGAGTGACAAGTATACTATAAAACTTGAATAAAGATCTAGTTTCCACTTCAGCATGTTTTAATTGTCTTAATAAATAAAGTCTCTTAGAAGCCTTTTCCACGGATGTTTGTTCCATTTCAAATCATTGGTAACTATCATACCCAGACCTTTTTCGGATTTTTCAATTTCAATGGCTTCACGTTTATATCTAGGTGTTCCTCAGTAAATGGTTCCGTGATAAAATTTTTCCTCAGCTCTTTGCATTTACCAGGGTTCAGTTGTAATTTGTTTTCATTCGACCATTTATTTACTTCGTCTACTTTATCAGGCCGGGAACTAACACCGTCTTTTGGAATGACTTCGGAAACCGAAGTATCGTCTGCAAATTTCCACAGGTTACTGGTCGGAGATTTTGTAATACATAGGTCATTTATTATTGCTAAGAATAGCCAGGGACCGATTTTCGTTCCCTGTGGAATACCGGCAGGAACTTGTAGAAAATTTGAATGCACAGAGTTTATTTTAACTCTCTGAGTTCGACCACGAAGAAAGTCAGCTATCCAATTTACTACCGTTGGCTTTATTTCATAATTGGATAGTTCTGCAACAAGTAGATTGTGGTCGATTAGGTCAAGGCATTGCGATAATCAAGTAAAGCGACTCTGACTGTAGATCCCGTCCCATCAAGTGCAACTAGCCAGGTAGGCATCATTGAAGTAAGCGCAAGAGTCGTGTTTGATCCTGGGATAAAGCCAAATTGGATTGGGTCCATCTTTCTCAGTAGTTTAGATTTTAATTCATACTCGATGGTGGTGTTTTCTGCAATTGTTGACAATGTTGAAGTTAAGGATATTGGTCTCAAGTCCTTGTTTAAAATCAGTAATTTTTTTGGCTTTAGGAACAGTTGGCACATCTGCTATTTTCCATACCTTCGGCACCTTGCATTCACGGAAGGATTCATTAAATATATCAGTAATTGCAGGTGCAAAATCGTGATTCTTAGTTTTTAAAAAAATACTTATTTCAAGCAAAAAATTGCTTGAAACAAGTAAAATTATTCTTGTCAGTTTAGTAAGAATATTATTCTAACCAAGAATCTTGGTAAGAGTATTATTCTTACCTAAAATTCTTATTAAGGAAAAAATTGCTTAAAACAAGAATTTTTATACGGGTAAAATTCTTGTGTCAAGCAAAAAATTACTTGTTTTAAGCAAAAATGTTCTCAAAACAAGTAAAATTATTCTAGTCAGTATAGTAAGAATTTTTGTCTAGACAAGAATTTTTTTGAAGAACTATCTTACTTAAAACAAGCAAAATATTCTTTGAGTAAGAATAAGAAAATTCTTGAGGATAAGAATATTCTTGTTTTAAGTAAAAATGACCTACTTTCCTGTTCATGCATGCAGCTTTGATTGAAATTATGACCTGTGGCATCTTTCATAAAACATAAATAGATTAAATTAACACATCTTACAAAATTAAATTCATATGATCTAATAACTATAATTAAATATTTAATTAAAAACGATATATATAAATATCCGTCATATATCAAATTTGCAAAGTTTTTTGAAAAATTAATATGTAGGAATGCAATATTTTAAATAAATAATACATATGTTTGTATAACAAATAAATATCTAAAACATTAACTCATTATTCATCAACCCGCATTAAGCGTCGGCACTCTCCCCTTCACAAGTAAAATCGTCTGGCGTTAGACAGAGTAAAATAATAAAGTAAGGTGCAATGCAACTCAATGGGTTAACTAGACACATGGGCAGATAGGCTAATTAACCATTAAGTGCCAGCGCTCTTGCCTTGACAAGTAAAAATGTCTGGCGTTAGGCAGAGTAAAATAATAAAGTAGGGCGCATCAGGGCGCATCAGGGCGCAATGCGACTCAATAGTTAGCAGCAAGGCTGGTTAATGTAAAGGCTGATATGATTTACACTGTATCAAAGTTTCTGTGCCCAAAGTATGCAGCTTTGATAAAATTATTGACAGCATATAAACACCTTTCAAACCTTGGGAAACCGGAACCACAGGTATTTTTTAGGCCTAACTCTGGTATCTGGGCTGCCTCGGTTCAATATAAACATACAACTTAACTCATAAACAGTTACGCATGCCATATTAGGATCTGCGGGGCACACTATAGTTTCCTCAGGGATTAGTGTTTTAAGGCGCCGATTAAATGAAGTATTTTCAACACCGGGGTTGAACTCAACCCTCTTGACCGGGTTCAAATTAAATTTCAGCACTGTCTGTAATACAAAAATCTATCAAAATCAAATCCGCGATTAAAATTTCACACCCGGGTTGAAAATTTTGTCATGTAATCGTTTGAACCCAGGGCTGAAATTATTCGTGAGTAATTGAGTTATTCGAACATGTGTGGTAGTGACTATTTATTACAAGAAAACAAAATGGAGGCTTTTTTACTTCGGGGAATCAATGCCGAGAACGTATAGCATTTCAACTCGGGGGTTGAAATAGTCCATGTAATGGAAGACAAAATTCAACCCGGTTAACAGGGCTGTCTGTCTGGGCTGAGTTCATTCCCCGGGTTGAAAGTGCTCCATGTAATCGGCCCCTAAGCTTGCAATTTCTCAGAGGTATAACTATGAGAAACATGTGTCCTCAATGTAGTCAGAGGGGATTCAGCAACATGTATATTCAGGGTTTGTCTGGACACTATTCTCTGGCCTATAATAGCACAAAAATGTGGAAATTTATTTATTAACTTTACAATCATACAAAAAATTGTAACAATGATTGAAGGTATGGTCAACAGGACATGAGTCCTATGTAAAGACCAACCTGATACAATACAATAAGTAGAAACATTAAAGACAAGGACTAGAACACTTTTTACATAGCTATATAAAAATTAATACTTTAGATTATGAGCAACAACTTAAGTTGAAAGAACGGCATTTAGAGCAATAGGTTTTCCAAGTGCGCATTCTGTTAACATCGAAAGAAGAGTCTAGTTGAGAAGAGTATAGTGAGAATGGAGCTGGAACTTAAAGAATGAAACAGACGAACTGTTACGAATGATCGGAGAGAGATTGTTCCATAGAAAGACAATTCGGTTAATTAAAAAAAGAGTTTCTAAAAAGAGAGATTTTGCACGGATTGACTTGAAGCAAGTTTTCCTTGCTTGAACGGGTGCGAGATGAGCGATTAGAAGAAAAGGTGACAAAAGAGGAGATATCTAGTTCGTAGAGGCCTTATTTGCATTTGAAAAAAAAGATGAGATCCTTTATTTCAAGCCAGTAAGATATAGGCGTAAAGCCAGTAAGATATAGCATAAGATAAGACAACTCATAATTTTGAAGTGTGAAGGATAACACAATGAAAGGATTTTTCTTCTTCTGTAAAAATCCATAGAACTTGCTTTGGCGATTATATCAATATGAGTCGATATTGATACCCTTTGAATACAGCAATACATTTATAACAATATTAATTTCATAGTTTATACCTTCTTGTAGCCTATAGTAAATGTTCTAGTTTGTTGTAGTTTTATATATTATGATTTCGAAAGTTCGACTGCTTGGATCACATATTATGACAGTATTTTTTGCTTGAAATTATAATCTGTAAATATAAAGCAATATCACAGAGTTTTAATGTATTTTAATAACAATATATTGTTTAATCCAGTATTGTTGAATGCAAGGCGGCCAACGGCATGGTGGTTAAAAATACATATGAATATAACTATTTATGGCACATATTTACACATGAAACTTCAAAATATTGACATAGTTGAACACTTACATTTAAAATGATGCTCTGAATCTTTAATAAGTGGGGTATTTCTTCTTGTTTCTTCTTGGCCATATAATGTTATCAACTAGCGTTATAAAATTTCTAAACGACGCGCTCGAAATGTGCCCGCTAAGCCTTCTGGGAAACCATATATGGAAACGCGATTGACTGAAGCCACTCATCTCAATCATGTGAACAATCCAGTGATAATTAATCTGCATTTCTGTTTTTTTGACAGAAACATTTAATTCCATCTCCAAAATTCTAGCTGTGTTATTATATTTTCCTTACATGTCAATATTTAAAGCATTTACGACGCAGTATAAGGTGCATATATATTTTAGTTATTATTATTATGTACATAATAGGAGCCTCTCACACTCCAGAACTCTACGGTCCCCACTCCCCAGGATATTTTGTTGGAAATGGGGGACTATAAACTTAGTTTCAGGCGAGTTAAATTCGACAAAAAGATTTAAATTAATTTTGAGTGGGTTCTGTTATCACCACGCAATTTTTTTCACTGCATATATTTACTGTTTATCCCGGCACACTTCCGTGATCACTGACGCCAAAATCAGATATGAACAAGTGTTACGAGATAGTTTCTACTTTAGTAGAAATATAGTATTTTAATATCTTCTTTGACTTTGTGCAACATACACCAGGTTAAGTGTAGATTTACACTGCCCCAGTGTAAGTAAGTAATTTTAAGTAATAAATTGCTTGTTTTAAAAACTCTAATCCTTGGTAAGAATGTCAGTTCTTATACTCACTCTTAAATTTTAATATGCGCGCCTCTTACTGCACGTTCCGAGAAAACAGATATTGTTGTCAAGGATTTAGACGGAAACTTTACTTGTTTTAACCACTGTATAAAACAAATATTCTTAATAAGCCTATCTAACGGCGAGTTAAATTCGACAAAAAGATTTAAATTAATTTTGAGTGGGTTCTGTTATCACCACGCAATTTTTTTCACTGCATATATTTACTGTTTATCCCGGCACACTTCCGTGATCACTGACGCCAAAATCAGATGTGAACAAGTGTTACGAGATAGTTTCTACTTTAGTAGAAATATAGTATTTTAATATCTTCTTTGACTTTGTGCAACATACACCAGGTTAAGTGTAGATTTACACTGCCCCAGTGTAAGTAAGTAATTTTAAGTAATAAATTGCTTGTTTTAAGAACTCTAATCCTTGGTAAGAATGTCAGTTCTTATACTCACTCTTAAATTTTAATATGCGCGCCTCTTACTGCACGTTCCGAGAAAACAGATATTCTTGTCAAGGATTTAGACGGAAACTTTACTTGTTTTAACCACTGTATAAAACAAATAATCTTAATAAGCCTATCAAACGGCAACTTTGCTTCTTTTAAGAACACAGATATTCCTGATGAGACTCTTTGCTTATATATTTTAAGAAAACAAATTTTGTCTTGAATACAGTTTTGTCTTGAAAACAGTTTTGTCTTGAATAGGATATCAACAAGAACCAATGACTGTTTTAAGTCAGCAATTATTCTTGTCTAGAATATACCAAGACGTTTTGCCGGTTTAAGTATTAAATATTCTTGGTATAAAGAATATAAAGCAAGAACTTTTGCTTGTTTTAAGAAAACAATTATTCTTGCTAAGAAAAATTTTCTTATTTTAAGTAAAATTAATTCTTGATAAAAATATTTTCTCTCGGTTTTCTTATCCTAAGCAAAATATTGCTTAAAATAAGAATTTTGCAAGAATTTTTTTCTAGGTAAAAATTCTCAATTTTGCTGTGTGAGCTGTTTTACCTCTCGCCACCAGTCTTTAGGTTTCGAATCCAGAAGGTTGTCAACTTTTTCTTATAGTATACTTTACGACAACGTTTTCTTTCCCGATTTACTTTGTTTCGCAGCAATTTAAACATGAAGTTGTTACCTAAGGCAAATGCTTTTTGTCTTTGTAAAATAAGGCATTTCAAATGGCTAGTCATCCACGGACGATCATTTGGGTTTACTTTAATTGATCTTTCTGGAATTATGGTGTTTAAACCATAATTTATTATTTCTGTAAATGTTGTCAGTTTATCAACAAAATATCGCAGAGATGACACTATATTTTCCCATGGGATATTTAAAAGGAAACGGCCAAGGCTTGCAACATTGCTTAGTCTTCTATCCCGTACTTTTATAGTCGATTTTTGGGGTCGTAAATTGACACGTTTTGCTGGAATCATAGTAATCGTGACATGGTCAGATAAACCAAACGGTGGACCACTTTATGCTGGAAAAAAAGTTTTTAAGATTTGTAAAGATCTGATCAAGAGTCTTAATTCCTCGAATAGAGAGATTTATAGCAGGTCTTTAGTAAAAAGTTTCGCAGTTGATTTAAAATCGAGTTGGTTAAAATCACCAGCCAGAACTATGCCACTATTTGGATACAACAACAACAACAACAACAACAACAATGACTTTATTACACCTTTTTTAGCATTAATTATTTACAAAATGGAGAGAAATATATACAATATATAAGTTGATGTGCTACTTATGGTATATATATACTATGTTTAAGGTGTCTAGAAGCTAAATAAACTGAAGTTTTCTAGTTAGCTCCCAGCTATATAAAGATATATTCTGATTTATTATAGCAACACAACAAACAAAACAATCACAGACAAAACAAAATAAACATTGGCAGTCAAATTTTATTTACTATTTTGATTTTGAAGTAAGAATTGTTTAACTTTTCCATTAAATGAGAAATTCGGTAGAATTTTAAAGTCACAAGGAGGTTCTTGCCATAAATCAACTGCTATTGAATATACAGACTGTTTTCCAGTATTAGTTCTTGTTTTTGGCTTATAGAAATTTTTGTTAGAAGCATATCTCGTACTGTAAGGATGTACATCGCAAGCATACTGAAAATAGTCATCAAAAATTTCGGGTAATTGATTTTCTTGCCATCGATAAGCAAATTTAAGAATTTGCAATTTATGAAGTGTTATAACGGAAAGGATGTTTAATAAATTCATATAGGGTAGGGTGCTTTCTGTGTTTTGCCCATGGGTAATGGCAAAGAAGATAACTCTTATTACTTTGTTTTGTTTAATTTGAACTTTCTTTATTTGTGTCTGATATGCACTTCCCCATGCCAGTATGGCATATGATATATATGGGTAAATAAAGCTGTAGTAAAGTTGTTTCAATTGTGATAAAGTCATGTAATGTCTTAATTTGTAAAATATGCCAATATTCCGAGCCAATCGTGAACAGATGTATGCTATGTGATATTTCCATGAGAGCTTATCATCAATGAAAACGCCTAGGTATTTAATATGGTCCTTTTTTTCAAGATAATCGACTGTTCCATCTCTATTTTTTATTTTAATATTTATATTTCCTGTTATCTTTTTCCTCGCAGATTTAATTATCATATAATTAGTTTTCTTAACATTTATAGATAGTTTATTTATATCACACCACTCTTTTATTTTAGTAAGCTCTTCATTAATTATTTTGTTTCAAGGTCAGTAATTGAGGAGGAGGAGGCAAAAATGTTAGTATCATCAGCGAATATCCTAAAAGATAATTTGCTCGAACAGTTTGGCATATCATTTATGTAAATTAAGAACAGCAGTGGGCCCAAGGAACTCCCCTGTGGGATTCCACATGTAATTGTTTGTTTAGGTGATTCCAGGTTATTCAATGATACATATTGTTGTCTATTTGTCAAGTAGTTTGTAAACCAATGTAAGGGAGTTCCTCTTATACCGTATGCTTCTAATTTTTTTAACAATATTTGATGATTAACTGTATCAAACGCTTTGGAAAAGTCTAAGAATACTCCGCACGTGTAAAGATTTTTATCAATCGCTTTCTTAAAATTATCAGTTATCTCCACTATAGCATGTTCTGTTGATCTGCCTTTTCGAAAACCAAATTGAAATTTACTTAAAATGTTATGTTTTTCCAGGTAACCCAAAATTTGTGAGTACACTAACTTTTCGAAGATTTGTGCAAAAGAGTATAGCGTAGAAATAGGTCTAAAATTTGATGGGTCAGTGATATCACCACCTTTATCTACCGGCGTTATTCTAGATATCTTTAAAATGTCAGGCATAATTCCTATATGGGGCTTTGGACGTACACTAAGTACGAACTCTTGGTCGCACACCCCTGTTGATGGCGACAGTTTGTTCTGTACTAAAATATAGCAACATTCCATAACATGCCGGATAAAACCTTAAAAAACGAAATTAAGAGGGGTAAAACTTGTGTACACCTCGTTTTTTTAATCGAGCGATCTTAAATCGTAGTCACAATTAGAAATTCCGGTACACTCCCGGCAAGTTAGTGTCCGACAACCTCGTACCCAGGGTCTTATTTCCTCTTGTGAAGAAAAGACCCTGGTAGATGCTGGTCATGTGATCCATTAAAATCTAGCGGATTTCTGATTAACTATCTTGGATTTATTCATGACAATCACACAAGAAGCAAATTATAAATTAAACTATAAAAATTATCTAAATATAAAATATGTGTAGGACTTTTGCTTAAAATAGCAATATGCATGCTAAATAATCATTTCTTAAACGAGAATTATTTAGCCAATGAGGATCTCAGGTTCACCTTGGTTCTATTCCTCGGCATTTGACAACAACCAGTGGCCAGAGGTTTAGGAATTTTGAACAGA